ATGCGCCACGCTCCGGAAGGCCTGTCGTTGAAAATTGCGATAAAATCGCTGAATTGGTCGAAAGGACCGGCATAGTAGCAGCCATAGCATCGGTCAAGAGCTGGGCATGAGTCATCAAAAAAAATTTTATGATCAATTGAAAATTCAATAAAAATACCGCAAGAAATACCGCAGGATTTTTTTGACAACCTAATATTAACAAAGGTCTATCTTTACACAAAAGTACAAAAATTGTATTCCAAAAATTCGTTCGTCATACAATCTGTTATGATAAGCCTGAAAATTTAATACAATTTTTAAAAAATGTAATTAATCCCAATACCACTAATGCAATTCACCGTAATCTGACAATCCTAGGGGAATTACAAAACATTTTCGTGTCTATTTTTCCTGGTATAAAATTTCGACATACCGAAACATTTGTCATTGACTATTCAACAAAACCGATCAACTTGAAACCCTCGTTAGAGAGCATAACCGAGCACATCGCTGCTTACACTAAAATGTCAAACAAATAACACGCGATTATTTTTCCCCGATATGAAAAAAATGTTGAAATATATAATTTCGAATTGCAAAATTTGTTTAGAAAATAAATATCAGCGTAAACCGTCCAACCTCGAAATCGGCAAAACTCATATCCCCTCTATGCCAGGCGAGATCTTACACGTCGACATTTTTTTTACTGATAAGCAACACTTCCTAACATGTATCGACAAATTTTCCAAATACGCGGTTGTAAACCTATTTCATCACAATCCATGGTAGATATTAACCCTTTCGCCCCTACTGGGACAATATGTCCCAGCAAACTTCAAACATGTGTATAACTTTTAATTTTGATCCTATTACGCATTGAAATGTACCCAATAAAGCCTTGAAGTCTTCTTTGATGATCAGTAACCGCATTCCGTTATTATTGACATCAATTTCCCGTTACCGAATATTTTGCACAGACATTTCGCGAAATTTCATCAGTCACGCGTTGTATTTCAATGTGAAACGTCTATCTGGTTCAGTTTTTATTCGTAATATTCTGCTTGCTTTACGGTTTAGGTGTGAATAAAGATAATTCCTTCGAAATTGAAAACAAATTGGATTGAAAAATATAAGTTTTTTATATTTGTAACTACATTGGGACATATAATACCAATAATGCATTTGTTTGGGATAATAATATCCCAATATTTGTTTATACCATTAGATGTCTACAAGGAAAAAATTGGGTGAGAACGAAATTGCTGATTATTTTTTACAAGAGGATAGCGACGATATGGCCGATGATTTTAGTGCCTCTGAGTCTAGCTATGAACCATCGGATGACGATGACGAAGATGCGGAAGTTCCTGTAACAAACGATAAATATGTACGCAAATCAGGTGATGAGTCTTCTTCTGAATCGGAGTTGGAAGACGATGACGGTCAAGTTTTAGGCGATCATCTTAATTCTTTAGAGAACAGTGAGGATCAGCCATTAGGCAATAAATGTAGCTGGACGAAGTTTGACGCCTTCGTCATTTTCGAACCGAAGTATATAATGCCCGTAGAAAAACCGGCTGAAGTTCTTATTGACTTTCCTCATGGTGCTTCCGAGCTTGACGTTTTTCGGAAACTCTTTCCAAAAAGTTTATACACGAGTGTATGCACATATATCAAAATTCAAGGGTCGCTCAAGTTTGAAACAGTATATGCCTTTGAAGCCAATAAAGAGAATGATAAAATTATGGCTACGCTGTGATGCCAAAACAGGCTACACTTATGACTTGAATGTATATACTGGAAAAGACACATCCCCTAATCTGAATGGAACTCTGGGAGAACGGATTGTAGAAAACTTGACAACAGGCATTCGTAAGCAAAATGTTGTTTTAGCGTTTGATGGGTTTTTCACCTCAATGAATTTGCTAAAGACCATACCATTCCCTGCGATTGGTACATATATACGAACGCGTAAAGAGACTCCTGTATTTAGTGGTCGTCTACAACGATCAGAAGTCAATTCCAAATAAATTGCTATGGTATAATGGCTGCTCGATGGATGGATTCGAAAGAAGTCCTGCTTGCTTCTAACTGTCATATGACTAATATAACTCAAGTTAGCCGAAAACAAAAAGATGGTTCTAAATTAGTAGTTCATTGCCCACTAGCTTTTGCAGACTAAAATCGTATAAGGGGGGGCGTAAACTTAGCACATCAGAAGGCTGCAATATGCGACTTGAATCGTAAGTCGCAAAAATGGTGTAAAAACGTATTTTACAAGGTTTTTATGCTAGCTGTGGTTAACGCTTGGATTATATTGCCATTAACCGAGTCAATGATAGCTGAAGGAATAAAGCACAAAATGCTCACAACACGTCAATGTGGGGGAAGACCAGCAAAGCGATCACGAACTGAACGTCTAAATATTAGCGATCATCTTCCTATTGAACAGCCTTCTCGTCGCCGATGCGTTCATTGCACTTCACAAAATAAGAAACCAGAACCAAATACGTCTGTTCTGCATGCAACAACGCTTTATGTTTTAAATGTTTTGCTTCTTTYCACAAGTGACTTAAATTTGTAAAAGGAAAAATGAATAAACAGTGAAATCCATTATTTTTTACTAAAAGTTGATATTTAATTTTTTGTTCCTTTTGGTATTATTGGGACTTATACGTCCCATCTATAAATATTATTGGGATTATATATCCCAGGATAGCCGTAAGGATATTTTCAGGTATGCCAAACATCTTATATTTTAGTCATACTACAGTATTTGCTGTCGTAATGATGAAAACCCCGCCTGATTTCGAAAAAAACTCAGGGGTGAAAGGGTTAAAGAAGCACTACTCGAAATATTATTGATATTTAAAAACACGAAAACGATTATTTCAGATAATGAGAAAGCTTTTCATTCCATGACAATAAAAAGTTTCCTCAGGGACAATTTTTCAATTGAACAATTTTTCATTCCGATATTACACAGTGAAAGTAATGGGCAAGTTGAAAGATTTCATTCAACTTTAATGGAAATAGTCCGCTGCATCAAACAGCAACAACAGTTGTGCGAGACTACAGATCTAATACTGTTAGCAACATATAAATATAACAACAGCATTCACTCCACAACCAATGCCAAGCCAATTGATGTTTTTCAAAATTGTTCAAATGAAGAATTGAAACTAATACGCGGAAGATTGCTTAAAGTGCAAGAGAAAACCTTAAACAAACGAAACGAAAATAAAACGATGAAAACATATGAATCGTAAGAGAAGGTATTCTTGAAAAGAAATAAACGGCTTGGAAATAAATTTGATAGAATTTATGTCTAAAAGGTAGTGGAAAAAGATTTAGGTACTACGGTTCTAATAGATGGAAAAAAAATCCATAAAAGTAAACTCACATGATACTTTCCGTTAACTCACACATTCACACACAAACAATCCTTACAAATAAATAATAAATACAATCAACACATATCAATTTTGAATTTTTACATTAAAATTTCCGTGAAGGAATCTGTAATAACTATAAGAAAAACTGTGTAATTTATTTGAATTCTCAAGCAAAATGTTAAACCATATTATCAACTATTTATAAAGCGCTAAATAATTGAATCTGTAATACTGTAATTTAAAATGTAATATTATGATCAACCAAGCCATTTCAATTACCAATACTTTACAATACCAATCACAATATATTTTTAACAATATTATGAAGTACTTGAAGCAACACACGACATCTCTTGAATTCCCCCGCTTAAGCTTGATGGACTACCACAACGGGGACGTTTTGGACTTGATAAGGAGGGTAGTAAAGATAGCAAGTGTAGCTACATCTACAATTTCTTTGGCTGCAGTGAGCGGCTTGATCTTTTCTTCTTCTTGATTGGCGTAGACACCGCTTACGCGATTACAGTCAAGTTAACAACAGCGCGCCTGTCGTTTCTTCTTTTCGCTACGTGGCGCCAATTAGATATTCCAAGTGAAGCCAGGTCCTTCTCAAATGGTTCTTCCAACGGAGTAGAGGCCTTCCTCTGCCTCTGCTTCCCCCGGCGGGTGCTGCGTCGAATACTTTAAGAGCTGGAGTGTTTTCGTCCATCCGGACAACATGACCTAGCTGGCGTAGCCCCTGTCTTTTAATTCGCTGAACTATGTCAATGTCGTCGTATATCTCGTACAGCTCATCGTTTCATCGAATGCGATATTCGCCGTGGCCAAAGCGCAAAGGACCATAAATCTTTCGCAGAACTTTTCTCTCGAAAACTCGCAACGTCGACTCATCTGTTGTTGACATCGTCCAAGCCTCTGCACCATATAGCAGCACGGGAATTATGAGTGACTTATAGAGTTTGGTTTTTGTTTGTCGAGAGAGGACTTTGCTTCTCAATTGCCTACTCAGAAGTAGCACCTGTTGGCAAGAGTTATCCTGCGTTGGCATCTAGGCTGATATTGTTGGTGGTGTTTACGCTGGTTCCAAGATAGACGAAATTATCTAGAACTTCAAAGCTATGACTGTCAACAGTGACGTGAGTGCCAAGTGATGTTTCCTCGTGGAGGCTGAATTTACCGACCGTAGTGCCAAAGATGCCTTCTTTGCCCACCCTGGCGTTAAAGTCGCCAAGAACGATTTTGACATCGTGGCATGCAGCTCTCATAAGTGCTTTCCAAGCATTCATAAAAGGCATCTTTGGTCACATAGTCCTTCTCTTCCGTCGGGGCGTGGGCGCAAATCAGCGATATGTTGAAGAATCTCGCTTTGATGCGGATTGTGGCTAGACGTTCATTCACCGGGGTGAAGGATAGTACTCGGCGACGGAGTCTCTCTCCCACCACGAATCCCACACCAAACTTGCGCTCCTTTATATGGCCACTGT